TTTGTGTGCGTGCGTGCGTGTGTTTGCGTCTCTCTTTTTCTACCCCTTCTTCCTCCTTTCTACCCTTCAAGCCCCTCCCCCCTCTCTCTGTGTCTCTATCTGTCTCTTTTCTTGTCTGTGGAAGGTACGGAAAAGGGGACTTGCACTTTGTGGTTTTGAGAATTTCACAATGATGATGGTGCCAACGTGATGATCAACGATGGTAATCACAAAAGTGAAAATGGTTTATGGCGTGTATTGTCTTCTTCTGAAGGCCGAATCGACTGCACAAGAGGGTTTTTTTTTTTCTTCTTCTGGCGGGCCAATTTACTGTCTCATTCACCCAGGATGACATACAACTTTGAAGCCTGTCAGATGCATGCCATTGTTAGTCTCATGTTCCCTCCCCATGGGTTGCCAAGTGCATTTATTTGATTTGCAACCTCGTGAACAGAGAAAAAAGAGGATAAAGTACTGTTTTGTTCTTATGGAAGCGGTCTTCTTCTCGGTTGGACCACGATACTGCGACTGATTGCAACGTTTGAAAATATTTGAAGCCACTATTGACACGATCTACATAACTTAAGGGTGCTCTGGTGTGGTTGGCTCAGTCTTTCCTATCGTCGATATATTATTGTTATCTCTCCTCCTTTTCGTGTTTCTTTTATTCACTTGTAATACCGATAATCGTGGGCTTTCTTATAACCTTATTGTGTTGCAAGTACTGTGAAACTCTAACGAAAACAACAATAATTAATTTGGAGCAATGATTCTTCGACCCCTTCATATGTGGGATAGCCGGACTCCAGTCACCCTGTGATCATTTCGAGACCCCCCCCCCCCAACAACAAACAACAACAAGGAAAAAACAAAACAAAACCCCACAAAACCACCACCACCACCAACAACAACAACACAACAACAAACAAACATGCAAACAACAACAACAAAACTACATCTGAACATAAACAAATTGTACTTCAGAGTTTGGGTCATTTGTAAAGGTCAGCACTCTTATTCAAAGACATCCAGTCATTTCATTCTGGTCCTGTGTTATGAAGTCTCCCGTGACGTGTGTCGTCGTACAATAAGACTAAGATTAGTAAGAACTCTATTTTTAAAGTGTCACTAAGACCCTTAATTTTTCTAACAATTCTGTTTTTAAAAGCATGTGGTTGAGGACGCTACCTTGGTGTTACTTCTTTACTTTCCCCGTGTTGTTTCTATCTGTATGCCTTATTTTTTCTCAGCACTGAATGACAATTATTGCGTCGATGTACTTCTCTTTACTCAAACAAACAAACAAACAAGCCATTTTTAAGAGTGTAAAA